TTAGAGGCAGGTTGCTGTGTGGTCCTCAGGGCCAAGGTGGTTATAAATCTCTGGGGAATGCAATTTGTAAATTTGATCATAGGGGCAGCCTACCAAAATCAAACATGCATTCTAGCTGCCCTGGAGCACTGGAACTGACCTACATGCTCCAATGGTAGTCAGAGCATGATCCTTCCATCTTTGATGTGAAAGTTCTGGCAGGTGCCCTAGCATCGACTCACAGAGACAAGTGTACATCCTTCCCTAAACTTGCTTGGAAAAGACTTAACTCTCAGAATAAAAAAATACTCAGGCACCTATTTGTTTTCAGATTATGAAGGCTTCCCCACCTTCCACTTCCTTCTCTATTTGCTACCTTCATTTCCTTGAAAGTAAAAGGCAGTATTTAGTTTTTGCATTTTGGGCAGCGAGCCAACATGCCTGGACAGATTAAGTGATGGAAGAAGGTTAATTTCAAGTACTTACTCCTCCCCACGCTCAGTGCTGAGGATTTGCACTGAGCTCCATCCATAGCTCCTTTTTTTTTGAGACAAGACCTCACTAAATTGCTAAGTTGCACAGACTGGCTGGAACTTCCAGTCTTCTGCTTCAGCCTCCCACAGTGATGGAGTTACCAGCGTGTGCCCCCAAGCCCAGTTTGAATACTATTGCTGAAGGACAAAATTGCAACAGTTTAGTCAAAACTTAGGCTTTCTCATTCTAGATTTGGACATCACTTTATTTCATAAAATAACTCGCAGTGAGTCAAGTGGAGGAGGTTGGTTTTAAAGACAGAAAGGCTGAAGCTGGGTATGGTGGCACACACCTCTGACCCTAGCAGTCTGGGAGGCTGAGACATGAGGATCACAAGTTATGGGCCAGGGATATAGCTCAGCGGCACAGCACCTGCCTGGCAAGCACAAGGACCCGAGTTCAATTCCCGTACAAAAAAAAAAGTTGAGCCCAGCCTAGACAAACTAGTGATTTAGTAAGACCCTGTCTCAAAATAAAACAAAAATATGTCCTGGGTTATAAATTAGTGGCCCTAGATTCAATCCCCAGTACTAAAAAGAAAAACAGGCTGAAGGAAGCAGAAACAAAAAGTATATGGGTCATTTCAGACTTATTTTCATTATAAGGCAGGACAGGAAAAGAGAACAGTAGAAAGCCATCTAATTGGGTAACATCAGGTTACTTAAGGTTAGTTTTGTTGTGTATTAAAGCAGAGGGACTTGGTGATCATGCCAGTTGAAACTTGCCTGTGAGATTTGGCTGTGGCCTCTAATCCTGATTGAAGGTCAGATGATGCAGGTTAATGACGCGGGCTTTGTTTTTTTGTTTGTTCTTTTGTTTTTTGAGTTAGTCTTGCCTGTAATTCAAGCCGGCCTTGAATTCACTGTGTAGCCCAGGTTGGCCTTGAACTCGTGGTGTTCCTCTTGTCTCAGCGCCCCCAGTGCTGGGATTACAGGTGTGCACCTCCACACCCAGCAATGATATGAACTTTAGCACGAGAGACTGTTTTGATTTTTTAGCCTAATCTGTTGGGGCCCCCTGTAGGAATTTTGTCCAAAACAATGACCTCCTATAATTTCTATTTAATACCATGTTTGTTGGGTGTAATCTGATTTAGCACTTTCATTTTTGTTTTTTGGTTTTTTTTGCTTTTGAGATGGTGATATTCTTTGACAGTGCCAGAGATCAAACCTGAGGCCTCTCACATGCTAGGCAAACACTACTGAACTGCACACCCCCAACTTCTGGTTAAACACATTTAAAATCTCATGGAAAGACAATAGCCCTGTTATATAGGAGAAGCAACACGGATTCAGCCTGAGCAAGCAGATGGCCTGATGAGCCCTGTGAAGTTGGTCTGAGCCCAGGGTGTTGGCCCTTGTGGGTACTCATCCTCTGTGCTGGGTGCTGGTGAACCCTGCCAGAAGTAGGCAAATCTGTCGCTACAGGTGTGCCAGACCCTAGATGGCTTCCCTCAGCCCTGCAGAGTCAGTGTTTTCAGGTGCTGGTTGATCCCCATCAGTTAAGTCATATCAGTTAATAGATTAAGTCTACCAAATGAGTTCTTAATAGTAAGAGACAAGGGGCCAGGAGTATAGCTCAGCTGCACAGCGCCTGCCTGGCAAGTATGAGGTCCTGAGTTCGATTCCTGGTACCCCCCGCCCCAAATAGTAAGAGACAGAAGTGCAAACAACACACTGTAACCTCCTTGTTACAGTGATAGTACAGAACTGGCAGTCACATGGTTGCTGTTGCCTGTCAAGGAAGACAGGAAGATCAAAAATGACAGGCCCTCAAGATATGGTCAGGAAAGACAGCATCAGTAGATGCCTTTGTGGTGCCTGCTAAGGGTAGTGTAAACCTGGGGTGGCAGTGTTGATTGTCTAGGCTTGTTAAATGGAGCTTACCCAGCTATGTCTCAAGCCATAAATGAGGCCTCCTGTCTAGAAAGAAAGGTGATGTTCTGTGGAAGTGACTGCAAACTTTTTAAGGTTTCAGTGGTAACAGCCAGCAGAATACATGCCAGAGGTGCACTACCACGGCTCTATAGTGTCAAAGGCTGTTCCTTCAGGTCAGCTCCATAGCTTCCTTGTTTATCTGTGAAATGTGAACAGTTTTAGGAGGGGCCTGTTTCACAATCTTAATGTTTGAATTTTTGGAAAGAACTACTCAGATGATACAAAAGTAGTATCTGGTACTAACAGCCTCTTCTGTGTTGGGGCCTGTCCTAAGCTTTTGTGTTTCTGGACACAGTCCACCCTCACAGCAGCCTCCTGAATGAAGTGTTACTTCTGTCTTACTGTTGGTGAGGTTGTGCACCATGACCACTTTCAGGCCGATAACTCACAGCTTTCAGGACCACCTGTCCATCTCAGAGCACAGACTGCCCTTAAGGACAGTTTGCAGCTCAAAAAACCCATTCACCTCTGCTGTCCCACAGTCCACTCTGCTCTCTGCTCCCATCCCATTTCTCACTGTCCCCCTCCAAAGACCAGTGCCTGCCAAAATCTGGAGGCATTTCCAGATCATCCTGTGATTCCTGCTTTCAGTGTCAGATGAACTGCCTTCCCACTGTAGCTGTGTGGGTTGGTATTCTGTGGAGGCCAAGGCATTGGATTCTGTCCATTGTCCTCTGGAAGCCATGTGGATGACTCTGAGTGGGAACCCTGCCCTGGTGGGCACACACGGAGACAGAGGGAGACCAGAGACAGTCTGGCTTTCTTCATAGTTACTGTGTACAGAAATAAAAACCACATCTAAAATGTGATCGATCATCTGTAAATGATACTCAGTTGAAAGTTTATTTTAAAGGTGTGACCAAGTTTGATCCTAGCCCCTAAACCATCTTTTCACTAGTATGATCCATTTTGATCTTCCCAGATTAGTAATTGGACTTGATTTCTGCCTACATTTCCTTAGTCAGTTGATTCCATGTAAATCAGTATTCATGGCAATATGAGAACCTAAGATAGAAAACTAGAGCACGCTGGAGCTGGAACCCAGGGTCTCACCTGTGCTAGACAAGTGTTTTACTGCTGAACCATTATTCCTGCAAATTTCTGCTGGGGTACATTATGGATAGGAACCAAGAAAAAGGCTCTGATCTTTCTCCAGAACGATAAAATTATAGTTTGATACTGTATTGGGAATTTTTATTAGCCTGAGGTGGTTATTTTATTATTCATTTCTGTTCCTGCTCAATAGAGAGAAGTCTAAGGCCCTTCTCTTTGGGCCCTATTTTCACTCACCATAAGCCACACTTACAGGCACCTCGGGAAGGATTTCTTTTCCTCCATTGTGTGGGGTGACATTCACCTTTACCACTTTCAGCACTATATTCCCATTCTCCAAATGCCAGTGGTTAGAATAGAGAGCATTCCCACTGCCCACAACGTGATTTAGATGCAGAGATGCTGTGATAAAAAGTTGATGTTTATATCTAGGCTTACCATACCTGTGCTTGCCAGCACTTTCAAGTAACTAGTCTTTGAGCGAGGACAGGGATGTCTGAATACCGAAGTGGTTTTCATGCAGTTATATTGAAAAGCAGATGTAGCTTTGTCTTGCATAGATTTGCTTCTGAACAAAAGTATACATGAAGAATGTGAATCAGTTCATGCTTTAAACCCACATAGAGAGCTTTGTCATTTAAATAAATACTGTGAAGAATACCCACAGCTGACCATCTCATGCAGATCTTTTTCATGTAACCATGTGTGTTGCTTAGGGTGTATATCTGGTTAAATAACCCTTAGTTATTAGCCCACAATCTCCCAAGCGAGTGGATGGTGAAGGCTTAAATAAATGAGACAACTGAAATGATTTCAGGGCTCCAGGAGGGTTTCACTCTCTTACAGCTTCGATATTCCTTGAGTTTAGACAAAGACTTCTCTGGGCAGCCTGTATTTATTTGGTTTTCAAACAAAGGAAGAGGATACTCAAGAAAACAGGGGAATCTAGCAGGACCTTGGGAGAATTTTCTGAAGAAGTAAATTATGTCAGTCAGGAGAACTACCTTATCTTTAGGTTGGTATTTATTGTAGGAGTGTGGAGCCTGCAGCTGCAGTCTCCTTGTAGTTAATTGGGATTGGAGCCAGACATCCTCAGCTGTGGCTTTATCGTGTCCTTTGAGGCGTCACAGCTTCACAGGCCAATATAGGCCTCAGCGGTGACCAGTGACTCACAGAGGTTCACTTACTATGAGTCAGCTGCCCATCTTTAGACAAAGTGCCTAAGGTTTAAACAACTCACACGTAAACATGAAAAGCCAATTGGTTAATATTAAATCCTGCTCAGAGCTGCTTCATAGTGGTCTCCGTCAGGTGTATGTATATAAAGACAGAACCCACATGCACACAGGGCCTGCTCAGGACAGCAGGGAGCCTGTAGATCAGCTGTGGGTGCTGGGAGTGGAAAGCAGGCAAGTGTCCAATGCATGCTGGCGCATTGAGTCAGGAGACAGGTCTTCTTGGGCTCCTTGTAACGAACCCCTCTTGCTTTTGTACTAGATTGAGCGGTTGGAAGTAAGCAGCCTCGCCCAAGCTTCCAGTGCAGTGGCCTCCAGCGCCGATGGCAGCATCCACACTGAGCCTGCAGATGGCATCCCTGACCCTCAACGCACGAAGGCAGCCATAGCCCACCTGCAGCAGAAGATCCTGAAGCTCACAGAGCAGATTAAGATCGCGCAGACAGCCCGGGACGACAACGTTGCCGAGTACCTGAAGCTTGCCAATAGTGCCGACAAGCAACAGGCTGCACGTATCAAGCAGGTCTTTGAGAAGAAGAACCAGAAGTCTGCCCAGACCATCCTCCAACTGCAGAAGAAGCTCGAGCACTACCACCGGAAGCTCCGAGAGGTGGAGCAAAATGGGATCCCCCGGCAGCCGAAGGATGTCTTCAGGGACATGCACCAGGGCCTGAAGGATGTGGGAGCCAAGGTGACCGGCTTCAGTGAAGGCGTGGTGGACAGTGTCAAAGGCGGCTTCTCCAGCTTCTCGCAGGCCACCCACTCAGCAGCAGGAGCCGTGGTCTCCAAGCCCAGGGAGATTGCCTCGCTGATTCGGAATAAATTTGGCAGTGCGGACAATATCCCTAACCTGAAGGACTCTCTGGAGGAAGGCCAAGTGGAGGATGGAGCAAAAGTTTTGGGGGTGATTTCAAACTTTCAGTCCAGCCCAAAGTATGGTAGTGAGGAAGACTGCTCTAGCGCTACATCAGGCTCAGTGGGGGCCAACAGCACCACGGGGGGCATAGCTGTGGGGGCATCTAGCTCCAAGACCAACACCCTTGACATGCAGAGCTCAGGGTTTGATGCACTGCTCCACGAGATCCAGGAGATCCGAGACACCCAGGCCAGACTAGAGGAGTCTTTTGAGACCCTCAAGGAGCACTACCAGAGGGACTACTCCTTAATAATGCAGACCCTGCAGGAGGAACGCTACAGGTGAGTGCTGTGGGGTGAATCTTTAAATGCCTGTTCGAGGTCCTTTTTCTTTGAACATAGAGACGTGGCTTTAGAAGGTCTTTATCTTTCTGTAGTGTGAGGAGCACTTCAGTTATGTCATGTGATGTCCTCGTTCATAGACAACATAGTAGAAGCATAGCAACCAAATGACTCCAGGACCCATACCCATGAAGTATCTCCCAGCTGTCGTGTTGCCATTCCACTTCAGGACTGTAAAACAAAGCCCAGCCTGAGACAGTGCGGCGTTGGGTACAGAAGATATTAATTATCAGAAGTGTGTAGAGACCAGGAATAGTAGCATGCACATGTAATCCCAGCTGCTTGGGCAGCAGAGACTAGAGAATGGAGAGTTCAAGCCCAGCGTAGCCAACATAGGAAGACCCCAGCTCCTCCTCCCCAAAAATAAAATTCAGTAGATATCAGCAATACAGCCAGCCAAAATGTAATGAGCCTTGTAGGTATTTGGCCGCATACCTATCAAGGCAGTTGGTGTAGAGAGATTAGAATGCAAATAAATCCAGATAAATGTGCCTGTTACCTTTACTGTGCATTGGCAAATGTTTGAATGGGGAGGAGACTGGAGCATGAATGGCTCTGCAGAACTGGAGAACTCTCAGAGGGCTGAGCACTCTGAGTTACCATCTGTGCCAGGGTAGGAGCCAGCCTTTGGGGGTTTTTCTTTCCTGTGCTGTGGATCAAACCCAGGCCTCTGCATGATGCTCTATGCTGAGCCACATGCCCACCTGGTGACCTTGTCTGTGTTTCATGTCACACTCCATACTCAGACAGCACCATTCCTGGCCACTCCCCAGACATGCTCCTTCACATGCCAACAGAAGTGATGTCGCGCCTAGACCTCTGACACAGACAGGGCCACAGACCTGCAGACTGGGCTCGGAGAGTCTGGAGGTCCCGGGTCTGGCCCTGTCTGTGTCATGAACCAGAGGGAACCCTCATACTTCTGCTCTGCCATCACAGGCCAACTCTCCTTTAGGATCCCTTTCACCTCTTAAAATAAGCTGTTTTGTTTGTTTTGTTTAGTTTTGTCTTGCAGTTCTGGGGACTGAACCCAGACAAGCCCGCTACCACTAAGCCACACCTTTTTATTTTTTGTTTTGAGACAGACAGGGTCCCACTAAATTGCCCAGGCCAGCCATGAACTTGAGAGCGTCTTATCTCAGCCTTACCCAGTATTTGGGATTACAGGCATGTGCCACCTTACCCTGTGCAAAAGTGATGTTTTTAGAAGTCTGCTTTTATGATATAACCTCAGGCCCTAAAATAAGTTGTTTGCGTGTATCAGCCATCTCTGAGGAGAGTTGAAACAGTGCTGCTCTTCAAGCGGCAAAAATGCTGGTCACTGTTCAGCCCCACCCCTTCCATGCCCGTGTATGCCTGTAAGGGAAGAGGAAAGAGAAGTGAGTGTGGGACAGATAAAGCTCCACACAGAGAGGAAGGTTGCTGTGGGTACGCGTTTTCTTTCGGTGTTTTATTTACTCCAGCGCACTGAGAAGGCAATGAGGAGAGCAGTGGGTGGACTCAAACATGTGCCCCTTGGTAGAAGATTGACCTGAACCCCAGCTCCGGTCCCCATTGTGTGCTTACTAACCTCGGAACCCAGGCAAGTCTCGTAACACTAAAGCTATGATGGCAAACCTTTACAGCTTTCAATAATAAACAGCCAGCTGCGGCAGGCGTGCCATAGGTTCACCACCACTGCCCTAGAGTCTTGGTTTCCAGGTCTCTAATGTAGGACACATGATCCTGCCCAGCATATAACAATGGATGAAATAATTTACACACGACACCTGGTTCAGTGCCTGCTCCTATAGTATTCCACTGATACCAGGAGGCAGCTGCTATTAGCTCCCTCCTCCTTCTCAATTTGAAGACCTGGGTGGACCTCAGTTGCTTTAAAAAAAAAAAAAGAAGAAGAAGAAGAAAAGAAAAGAAAAAAAGAACCTACCAGGTGTGGTGGTATACACCTATGATCCCAGCACTTGGGAGGCTGAGGCAGGAGGATCACCAGAAGTTTGAAACTAGCCTGGACTACATAGCAAGACCCTATCTCAAAAAGAAATTTTTTTAATTTTAAAACTGCCTTCTTTGATTTATTTTGAGTGGATAGAAAAACATTCCAGTTTTTAACTTCCTGCAGAGCTTAAAATTCATACAAAACTTGTCTTCAAGACTGATGTGATGTAGGCTAATATGAGGTAGTAAGAAGAAAACCCATCTCCCAGGGCTGACCTTCGTGTCCGCTTCAGACAGCTAAAGACAAGACAGAGCTCTAGCTGCTCACTGTCACTGCACAGTGTCCAGTCTGAGCAGGCTTGCATCCATTGCACTTGGAGCACTCTCACAGGTAATGGCTAGTATATGGAATAAAGGGAGAATTTTTTAAAAAAACAGCAAAATACTTTTGAATGTCTTAAACAAAAAGTAAAGCCCTTGGGCAAAAGGAAGACATAATATGCAGTCTGTCTCATCTTCCTATCCCATTTCACCCTTCAAGTGGCTTTTCCTTAAGACAGAAGCATCAAGAGTACAACCCTTTTTCCTCAGAAAAATGGGGGAAAAGTCACAACTGTTTCACTCATTTTTTTGCACCAAGAATTTTCTGTAAAAAAAAAAAATAGTTAAGAGAATTCCCGCACTGGGAGATGCCATATGTCTTTACATTTGTCTTTATTGGTCTTAAACAGTTTCATGTAAGTGAACTTTTTCCGCTTTTTTTTCTTTCTTTAAGGTGCTGGGGATTGAACCCAGAACCATTGCACTGAGCTACATCCCCAGCCCTTTTTTGTTTATTTATTTTTAAGACATGATCTCAATGAGTTGCCTAGGCTGTCCACAAACTTGCAGTCCTGCCTCAACCTCCCAGAGTGCTGGGATTACAGGAATGTGCCACACACCCAGCTTTCTTTCCACAAATTGGAGTCTGTTTTAAGCACCAAAGCATTTCATATTTTAGACATTTTTCTGCTGCCTTTGTTTGCTTTCGGGTATGGGATTTTGAGACAAGGTCTCACTCTGTAGCCTAGGCTGGCCTTGAACTCATGGCAATCCTCCTGCCTCAGCCTCCTGAGTATTATAGACATGCGCCACCATGCCTGGCTGCTTCCTTTTTTGCAGTTTGTTTTTTCTCTGTTCACTATTAGTGAACTACCTGCAGCACTCACTCTGCACTATTTCTTTTTCCTTTTTCCTTCCTTCTTTTCTTCATGTTGCTGGTGAAATCTGGGTCTCGTGCATGCTGGGCAGGTGCTCTGCCACTGAGCTGCACCCTGGCACCCTCACCCATATCACCACTTGCAGGCCTCACTTTTTGTCTTTTATATTCTTCTACAGCCACACACCAGTCAGGGCATTGTGACTGCTCTGGAGCCACTTTCACGCTTTCACTCTTTTCCCTCCTCTCTGAGCTGCCAGGGGACCGTGCACAGGTCGCGGCTGGTTGTGTAATACCAATGTGGTGCACCTGCAGACCCCCCTGCAAGCCTGCACATGCCTTTGCCCGTTCTCATGGTTGTCCACTCTAGTGAGGGGACAGTGAGGCCTGGGGGAGTCACTCAGCAAGTAGTAGTAAGTGAAGCTCCACACATGGCTCTCCCGACTCCCCATCCAGTGTGCTTTTACTCCAGGACCGGCGGTGGTTGAACGCTTATTTAACTCCTGAGACTGCTGATTGCATTGGCAATGGAGTAGGCACTTCCTAGGGCCAAGTGTGTGCTTACTAAAAGTTGAATCACTATGTTTAACGTATTTCTAAAATTCCATGAATGTGCGCACTCTAGAAAGGTTTCCAGCTAGTACCCCAGCGTACGCAATGAGTGAAAACCCCTCAGGACGTCCCCACTGCATCTCTGTTTCTGCAGAGCGCTTTCTCCAGGATCCCTGTTTCTCTCCAGATGCTTCCACTGCTGCAGCCCAGGCCAGTCATGGCCCAAGAGCATCTGCTGGCTTGGGTGGTGGGACACATCCTGAGGTGTGGGACGTCAGCTTTCTGCACCCACACACTGTGCCACAACTGCCACTACGTTTCCTCAGCACCCAGCTAGCTCGAGAGCTGGGTCCAGGCTCACCTCAGCCCTCACCCAGGAACTGGGTGTTCAGTCTTTGAGTTGCGTGGGGCACTAGACTAGAGGGAGCTGTGTCTGGGGCAGCTAGGAGGCAGGGTTAGAAACTGTTCAGTGAGGTATCGATCCATGCTGATCTCAGAAGGCTGTCCCACCTAGGTGCCTCACAGGTTTCAGTGATAGCTGGATCCACAGTGCTTCGGAGCAGGAAGGGACCCAGGGATAGCTGGTCTCATCCCATTTATGGGTGATCACACTGAAGCCCAGAAAGATAAAGTGACTTTCCAAGTCACACAGGAAGCTCATTTTACATATAATTTGCTGATAAAAACTGAGAACCAGTCCTGTTCTCGGTGTGTGTAGTTAGAATAGGGTGCCAGAGGAAAATGTTCCCTGTGCCTTGGTGCCCTGGAAGTGCAAGTTTGGGGAAGACACCAAGGAAGACCTAGTGGCTTCTGTGCTGCTCCTGCAGGAAGGCTGCAGCTGCTGCCAGCGTGTGGCAGTGCTGGGCAGGTAGCCAGAAGCCCTCCCAGTGCTGGGGAGCAGCAATGCCATTTCAAAACTCTGTGTCAGGGAGACTGCTGTCCTTTGGGAACCAGCACCTAAACGTGTATATTGCAAAACCCAGAAATCCTGCAGCCCACACTCAGCCCCAGGAACACAGTGCAGTGGGAGGCCCCTACCATGAGTGGTCCACACATATGGGGAGCAGGCACAGCTAGGTGACCCAGTTAGGCCAGGCAGGTGGTATCTGGCAATCATTGTACTTGATCACACGTCATGATGCTCAGAGGCAGCAGTCTTATCCCAGGTGTTAGACCTGTTCACTAAAAATGGAATAAGTAGGCAAAATCCCAGCCAGGGGGAGCTCTTAGGAAGGGTAAGACTCTCTATTAAGAG